TATATAGAATCAGTCGTGTGCTTTACAAGTCACAATAAAATGCTTTACAAGTTCAAATGAAAAACGAAGGGGGAATCTTTTTATTAGAACATATTTTCTGTTTTGCAAAACTGTATTCAGCCCAAAGGCACGTGACTTCTACCGACATTAAATATGATTCATTAACCACAGAGTGAAAACAATGACCCGTATGTTCATGGTGCAAATTAAGCTATTAAAGGTTCACTGTGCAGAATTTGGTGACATCTAGTGGTGAAAAGTCACGTTGCAGCTGAAAGTTGAAAGTGTTCAGAGTGGAAACATCAGTGGGATTATTCGATATCATCTCTTTGCCAGTAAGACCCCTGTGCTCTTGAGTGTTACACACTGAGGCTTCAAGGATAAAGTAAATCACAGATCTCAGGTGTTTCCCACAGTTAGAATAAAGGACATTAACGTCACTGACGTGAGTGAAGCTGTGATTCACAAACGTCGCAGAGCAAGAACGTCACGGTGGGTTTGGCTGCCTCTGACTGAGCGTCGCTATTTATAGACAAACTATATAAAGTGTATAAAGTGTATAAAGTATATAAAGTGTATAAAGTGTATAAAGTGTGTAACACCAGATGAGAGGATCGAGTGAGTTAAACACAGCTGGTTCATCATCACCACAGACGAGAACACGAGTGGACTCCTGCACAGCCGCCGAGCGACTCGTCCTCTCCGTCTCGACTTCAGTGGAGTCAGGACACACGGTGAGACACGGTCAAACACTGGGGGGGACACACAGGGGGGACACACAGGGGGACAGACACACAGAAGAACTCACGTCTGACTCCTCTGCGACACACGGAACCCAACCTGACGATCGCCGCCATGATGATACTCCGACCAAGGTCACCACAGTTACCCGGATGTAGTTGCTGTGTCGTCAGCGGCACAAAGATGTTGAGTGTGAGAGGAGATCAGTCAGTCACGTACAAGTACCACTACTACTACTACTACTACTGCTAATACTGCTAATACTACATGGTTACAAAGTGCTGCAGAAGTAGAAAAATACAAGTACAAATAGATACACTTAACAAAAGCACAAAATACAAGTACACATACAGCAAATCATAGAAAAGCCATGCCACACTGAGCAATGCAATAAAAAACAAAACAGACAAAAGAACAAACACAACTCAACAAAAGCAAAAAAAAAAAAAAAAATCGACAGATGAGGTGAGTTTACAGCTACTTCTAAAACTGAAGCACTCATTTGGCTGATCTGATTTCAAGCGGTGTCGGAGCTGAACGCATAAAAGCGTGATCCCTCCTTTTTATTAAAGGTTGTCTGCTCTCAGGGTTCTCTGAGAAATGTGAGGGGTTAAAAGTTCTGACTTTATGAAGCAGAGGCCAGACAGTGATTCATAAGTGAGTCAGTAGAATATTACATGGAAGCTGTGAGGTTTGGCTCGGACTGGAGTGATGTGTTCTCTCTACGTTGACTGTAAACACTAGGTTATACTGCAGTTTGTTTTGCTCACATTGGAATCACAGTTACACAAGACACTTCATCATCATAGCTTTTTAATTAGTTTAGATTTTATTTGTACAGGTTTAATTACAAAAAGATGTAATATTTCATAATAATCAGTTATTTGATGTGCTGCAAACTGGATGCACAGTCCAATTTTACGTTTGAATTAAATGACTCAAAAAATGTGATCAGTTGTCGGTGACACAAAGTCCTGTGTGTGTTTGAATCCTTGTGCACTTGTAAAATATGATGAGTTTATTATATTCTCATGTGTCCTGTTGTTCATACTGATGTGAAGCAGTGAGGTTAGGAGAGATCTTAATTTGATTTTGAGTTACCTTCTCTTAAACGTTGAAAATCTTTGTCAGTGTCACTTCCTGAGTCGCAGTAAAAACGCTGAGTTATAAATTACATGGATGGTGCAGCAATGCATGCCGGTCCTACTTCCCCTGACGTCACGCAAACCTCCCGAATATGACCTCAGATGACCGAGGCAGCTGAAGGGTTTGATTATGACGTCGTTCTAGTTTACATAATCCATCCACCTCTTGTCTCTTGTAAGCAGCTGAAAACAGATTGATCTTGCATATACAGAATAAGAATGACACTGATGCTAAACCTTGTTTTTATTGCATCGTTAATGTGTCACAGTTGTAATCAAGTGTGCGAATAAAAGACACAACCCCAGGTTTTCTTTCTGGTTGGTCCTAGTTGTTGAAGCAGACATGAATGTGCAGCCGACCGCAGTCTGCATTTTAAATACATTCAATCCGCAGAAAGAACCTTTGCTTATTGGCTGCAATCAAGCCAGACTCCACTTCTGAACGCCCCCATGTTGTTTTAACTTATATGTAAAGAGCTGATTTTACAATAACAGCAATGTTCCTATATACTGAAACATATAGAAATAAATTAATGAAAAAAAATGGGACAAATTATTCATTTTCTTTGTCCGAACTCCCGTCAGATTGACAGTAGACCAGCTCATAGTGTCACTCAGACACAATCCGGACATTCTGATGTAGAGCTGCAAAATGAACTCTGTATAAAAGCTCATCATACAACCACTTTCACCATTCAATGCATATTAGAATCAAAGCAACACGTCCTGTTCCACTTTAGATTGAGAGTAGACAACGTCACTACTGCACCTTTCAAATACAAAGTATTCTAACTAATTCAAATTACCACCAGTAAATAAAAGAGTTTAAACAGTGTCCAGGATGTAATTCATGTAATCCAAAATAGTGAGAGTGATTTTGAACTTGAATCACATTACCCTGATAAGTAAACTGTGTTTAATTATGTTTTTCAAAATGCATTTATATTTCTTGACATTGAGTGTTATCATTTGTTCAGAGTACAAATAAAGTTTTTTGTTTTTTTTATACTTCCCAGTGTTGTTGAAAGTACCAGTGCTCCCTGCAGCCGCCTGCTCTTCCTCTATTGACCAGAGGGGGCGCCGTTCATGTTGCAGGCGCTTCAGACACCCCCTGTGTATGATTTGTAGATCTGTGCTTTTTACCCACAAGCCACTGCTGCCGGCTCCGCAACAGAAGGTGACCTCGCTCCTCCACGTTTTTTCCTCCAGGAGCTCGGCACCGACCCGCCGCTGCTGCTTTTACGCTGCGTAACGACGCCATGGACAGTTTCGACAATTTCAGCGCGTCGGAGAAGGCGGACGCGTCGGAGCTGCAGCGGATGATCGCCGTGGAGCAGCAGAAGGCCCAGTTCCAGGCCCAGGTGTGTTTGATAACCGGGGCTCAACCTGAATGTTTTAACCGGTCCTGTGGCTCCCAGGTCCACAACACGTGAGATCACTGATCCCAGACCTGAGCGCGTCTCCTGTGGTGGGACTGTAGTCCCTGACGAAGAGACAACCTGAGAGTCCTCTGCGGAAATACACTGTTAGAAAGTTGTTGATGGTATAACACTGGGAGCTGGTGGAAAGAAGTGCATTCATATCTGCATAACAAGACAATTATACCCAAATAGAAATAGTGTGGTCAGCCTTGATAGTGGAGTTTGTGTCAGTACATGTGGCTTGTTCCAAAACCCTGTTTTTCCCAGTATTTTATTCAGACCTGTCCTTCTGAACAATCTGGTGTCGCCATGCTTTCTTAAATATGACATTTAGGCCCATGTCCCTGTAGTTTCAGGACCCAGCATGGCACAGTGTGATACACGGCTCATGGTTTCTTATTGTTACTGCAGTAAGAATGTTTTAGATGTAAAGAGATCAGTTACAGAGAGAAGCTCGAGTGTGTGAACTCAGTGATGTAGAAAACACAGATGCAGGTGTTAGTTAGCCTCAGTATTTACATGCAGACATATTTGGAAGACATCATTCCATTCCACTGCTGCACCGGCATTGATCAACTGTTGTTTGACCAGTGTGTCACATTAAATGTGTGACAAATATCACCGCTCTATAAACTCCTGCAGGTTTGCAGCTGACTTAGCTGTGACTTGTCAGAATCTCGCAGTCGATGATCAGATGCTGGTTCACTAAAAACACATGAGTTCATCTTCAGTGAGAGGGACCAACGTAGAAGGAGAAGACACACCCCTCCGATGAAGATCAAGTTCTTAAATTACTCGATTCTTAGATGCATCGCGGTGTGGACTTGGACGACTCTGCATCGATGCAGTGACAGAAGACAAAGATTCATGTTTTCCACTACGTTCATTATTTTAGCGATGTCCGACGCTGAATAATTACAGACAGCGCTTTTTTTAAAATCCTCAGTCTGTGTTTGGATCCTGTCAGTAATCACGTACTGATAATCGATCTGTTTGTGTGGTCTGTTCCATCACCGTGAATTATTAATCCCATACTTCTGTTAATCAGCTGGATTCTACTCCTCTTGATTCCAGGTGCACAGCTTCACTGACATCTGCTGGGACAAGTGTGTGGAGAGTCCGGGCTCGAAGCTGGACTACAGGACAGAGACGTGCCTGGTGAGCTGTGTCGAGCGATTCATCGACACCACGCTGACCATAACCAACCGCTTCACACAGATGGTGCAGAAGGGCTCTCATTAACGATGGAGCACAGATGCCAACAGGACTTAAATTATGTCAAAAATAAAGTTTTATGCTTTCCTCACACGTTGATGGAAGATAATGTGAAGAGAACGTGTTTTTTATAACTCACTGTTTAGACTGATGGTGCTTGAAGGGTCCAGAAAGAGTCATGTAATGTGACCTTAATGCACTGACACTGGGATCCTCAGTCTACTAAACAAAATGGGGGACGAGCAGCTTCCTCTGGACAGAGTTCATCCACCAGCACGTGGAGAGAAGATCTGGTTTCAGACGGACTTTTTTTTATTTCTGTTTTTAGTGTCGCACCAGTGATAAAAAATCATGTAACTGGGAAACATGGATTAAAGATGAGAATTTATTGAAGCATGGCCACATGAATATCAAGAAAAGCTTTGATTAATAACAGATTTATTTCATATATTCATCTGAAACGACTGAAAGCTCCCAATCAAGGCATGTCTTGGTGAAATATCTTTGAAATAGATTCTCCTCTGCTCAAGTTAATGTATCCTGGCACAATAAAATAAATGTACCGTAATAAAGTAGAACAAAAAAACCTTCATGACATCAGTCTGTTGTCTCTTTGTTTGAAAACATACTCATTGGCCAAAGAGGTGGGGGGGGGGGCAATATTATGAATGCATATACACACATATATATATATATATATATATATATTGGCCTTGTCAGTTATTGTTAAAAATGAATCTTTCTGTTAAAGCTGCCAAAGGCTGCATGTAGTAGCAGCGGCGAACAGCAGATGTCTGTTCATGGCGTTATCATGGCGTCTGTCCCCGGTTGGGGGGGGGGGGCAATAACATTTTAAAGCAATTACTTTATTCAGACATTTTATTTTCTTGTACCTAAGAGTTTTAATAACTGAAACATAAACCGGCTGAACTGAAATTATAACAATGATAATAATAATAAAATACAGACATTAAAGATTCGATGGCGTACAGAGAGGATTCGGAGCTTCCAGAACATTATGTTTTTCATTTCTCTGAATGTGAGTGAATGTGTTCGAACGTGTGTTAAGAAAAAAGTCCGAAACAAAGCTACAGTGTGAAGCTGTTGATATTTTTCGCTGCCCTGAGTGCAGACTTCATGGCAGTTTCAATCCACCCATGAGGCATCGCTGTGTGTTCTCCTGCAAAGTGCACCCGTCCCTCACTCTGGAACAATTCCCTGGCGTATTGCCCCTGCTGGTAGGGCATGAACAGGGCGAAGGCTCCCAGACTGTAAGGATCCAGGCCCCATTTCTTCACCAGCCCCCCTGTCCACAGTTTCCTAATTCCTTCTCCGTGGATCTTAACCAAGTCGTCCAGGACCACGGCCATCACCTCCTCCTCGCTCATCCCTTGGAAGAGGGTGGAGTCGTCAGAGCAGGTGTAAGATGCCAGGAGGGCCCCTGCGTCTGTGCCCTGGAAGGTGTGGCTGGGGTAGTAGATGAAGCGCGAGGGGCGGTCCGTGATGCTCTTCCCCCCTCTGATGCCCTCTTTCTCCCAGAAGCGCTCCCTGAAGCTGAGCACCACCTTGGTGGAGCTGATGTAATGGACCGAGCGCAGGGCCTCCATCTTGTCCCCGGAGAGAGGGGGCTGGAAGTCAATGAAGAGGGTGGCCTTGGCTGTGGCCGTAATCAGAGCGTAGTCCACTGTTAGGTTGGTCAGAGCGCCTGAATTACGCCAGTCCTGATATGTGACGGTGACATTGCTGCCACTTGTTTGGTGGATCAGCTTCACCTTGGAGTTGAGAAGGATTGTGGAATTTAGCACCTGGTAGAAAGCCCTGGGGAGATGGTCAAAGCCATCGGTCACTTCGAAGTACCTGGAACAAAACACTCCTTTACAAACCTCTTCATCACAATACAGCAGTAAATAAACCCCTGAAAGTCTCCGTGTTCCTGAGAGTTACATATTGAGATGTTTTTTTCAGTGGATATATTTTCTCTTCACTGCCTGAATGTAACACTGCATCTTTGCCTCCTTTAATAATCCTCATATCTAAGATACGAATGAGCCCAGCCTCTGTCTCTGCAGCTCCGACTCGTCTCAAACAAACTCTTTCAGGATCTTCTTTTGTGACTTAAGGCTACAGGCAGGAGAGTTTGTGTTACTGTTGCTTGTTGTATTAAAAGAACAAATGTACAATATGCTGTGTATTTTAATCAGACTGAAAAAACGATGCACTGTTGATAGACACATAATAAAACGGAATATTTCTCACTCGGTGTTGTCAGAGATGTCTGACTGGATGTACAGCGTCTCCAGCAGTGATGAGTAGAAGAGGCTGTTTTCATTCAGGATGTCTCCGATCATCCTCAAGCCACCACGGCTCAGGTTGCCCTCCTTCACCAGATATTCCTGTCAGCGGTCGAATGTCAAATGTTTTTCAAACTATGGCCTGTGTGACATTGCTCAGACAATTTCAAAATACACAAACTGTTACCTGCACTGTGTAGGAATCATATTTATGCAGCATGGCACTGCAGCCAAAAGTCTTGAGGTCATCCTTCAACTGTGCACATACAAAGAAAGAAGATATTTAAGTCAGTCTTTATCAGACTTCATTTTTACAGCACTTCTCATCAAAACCAAATAACATAAAATTTTTGACATTAAAATACAAAAATATTGTGATTTGCCAGGTATTTGTTTTGTACTTGAAGAATTTAATGACATGAGCTGTTTCTGTGTGTTTGCTGTGTTAATGTAGTGTGTATGACTGTGTGTGTGGTGGACCCCAGGAAGAAGAGCTAACATGTATTCTGTATGTATTGTGATACTGTTGGTGATGATCTAACAACATCATGAATTATTCTGCGAGGAACGTAGACAAACCTTCCACAGGGCCTCACTGAAGAGTTGAGCGGCTGACTTCCCCCTCTCTCGTTCGCTCACGCTGTAGTTGAGCAAACCAGGGTTATTCTTCACAGCATAGGTTTTCTCTAGCACTCCATTGACCAGATAGTAGGTGTTGATGTCGTCTTGGATGAAGTGGTTGAGGGAAATCGGTAATTTGGAGGCAAAGGAAAGCAGGATCCTGTGGAGTATTATTATCAAAATCATTATTTGTAAGATTTTTCATTTTAGCTTTTCTCATTTTTTTAATGACCAGTGCTTACAGCTCTGCTTTGGTCTCTACCAATCCCTGAGGGAAATATCGGGCTGTCAAATAAGTCACTGATTTCATTATTCACAATTCTGAAAATGCTCAATGTCCACACAATTGAGTTCGGGCTTCCTCTGGAGTCATTAGGGGGCTGGCCTGAGAAACGCTGGAGAATTTTGTAGAGGGCGCTATTAAGCCATTTTGGCACGGCCATTTGCAAGACCCATATAAAGTTTTAAAAAATTTGTAATTTCCGACATGTTTTCTAAATTTTCGAGCATGTTTAGGCCCCTAAAACTGTGATCAATTGTACAAACTAAACCTCAACTTGCCACTTGTAATGCCTCGGCAACAGCGTTCAGCAAAAACAAGATTCGTAGCGGTCGCTGCTCTGGTCATAATGATAATGGACTGTTATGATATCGGTCGGACTTTCTCACTGCAGCACGTTAAGCTTTGTCCTTAGTTAACAACTACTAAAATGCAGTCGTGGTGAATGCCCTTGTGGTAATTGTATTTAAATACTGTACTTGAGTGAGACACTCACTTATGGAAGCTGGGGATCCTCATGGGACCCATTTCTGCATACCAGCCCTCTCTCCTGTTCCTGAAGGTCTCCACACGTCCTCCAATACGGTCACTCGCTTCTATTATGGTCACCTTGTTGTCATGGGGGACACAGAATCATCGTGTTGAATACACAGCATACAACCATTTCAAGGATTCAAGGAATTAACGCGCAGTAAAATACCACCGGTACATTTCAAGACAAAGAAATAGCCGCATGCATCGACATCCTGAGGTTCTCCAGACAGACTGTGTGAATGGTGCTCAGAGCACGAATGCCAGGTCAGGTATTACATCTGAGGGTTTTAACCAGTTGTTTAAAGGTGTTACACATGTTCTGTATCACAGCATCTTCCTGAATGTTTCCAGTCATTTTCTACACTAAAGAAATCAGTCATCAGTCACAAAGGGACCGGTTTCATTGATTTGCTTGTCAACGGTGACAAATGGTCAAAATTAGTCAAAGTAGTCAAAATGGACAATATTCCACATTTTAACTATGTACTATTTATATCTTAGTTTAATTTATTTGTGTATTTCAACTGGATGAAAGACTTAATTCAGTCATACAGGGCATCTATGGGCAGCACATTTTCTATGAGGGGCAATTCAGGGTCCAGTATCACAGCTCAAGGTTATTTATGCAGATGTGGAAGACTGGGGTCAAACCCTCAACACACACACACACACACACACACACACATTGTTAGATCAAGAGGTTTGAATGTTTTCAAGCTGAGGTCATTCCTCAAATAAACAAATTTTACCTTATGTCCAGCATCTTCTAAAAACTTTGCAGCCGTGAGTCCTGCGATGCCGCCACCGATGATTGCCACATGACGGGGCGTCTTTGCGGCGGGGAGGCCTTTGTTCACGATGTCGAGAAGCTCACTGTAGTCTGTGTCTTGGAGGCAGTCGCTCAGAGGGTCTCCAGTGATCCCACTCACAGCAATCACCACAACCCCCACTAGAACCAGAGGAACTGACGCAGACAGAAAGAACCAATTCAAGGGGGATTAATTCAAAGCATCACGAGGTGAATATGCAGAAGAGAGGGAATATTCAGACTTTTAACATTTCAAACTGAAACCTGTTCAGCTGACAAACTTCCTCATGTCTCTCGCCTCGAAGTAAAACCTATGACAAATGGCTGTGTAAGGATAAATGTTGTGGTCATTTTGCAGAAATTCACATATACTGTTATTCTAATTTAGGTTAGATTTTTTACTTTCATAATTAATGGAATTCCAAAAGCTGCATCGGGGTTTTACATAGATACCTATGTGTATTGCCATTTGTACAAGTACTACATAAAATTGATACGTAGGGATTCAGGAATTTTACAAGAAAAGCAGGTAAAATAAAAAAGCAGCAAAAAACTATTAATAAATAAATACACACACACAATATATACAATCAGCTATGCAGTTCTGAAGTATTGCGCAAAAGGAAACAGAATACACTGAAATATTTACTCAAGACATTGAAGTATTGCACCAAATGTAACTATTGAATGAGTGTATTGTGTCTTAATGTTTTAATACTTACAGAATTTGCACAGTGCCATGTGAGGGATCATCTTGAGGATGGAACTCCAAGGTCTAGACTTGTTCCCTGTGCTGCTGCTCCTGACACTATAAGAGGGAAAGGACACCTGCCAAAGACACAGAATTAAGAAGTTAAATTCGGTGATGAACTAGTAAAACTTTAATATCCACCTGATCCGAATAAACTCGGACACTCACACATTAGCATTACTTTCAAAAGTGAAATGAGATTTCTCTCAGGCCACATTCCACTCACCTTTATCAAAGGTAAAGTCTCGTACGTCATCATAAACCTCTGCATGACTGAGGTGAAATGAGTAAGTCCTGGATAAAGCTTCACTTCTAATGCTGCGTCCGTCTATATGAAGCAACCTGCAAAACCTGGACGCGTGGTATGTGTGAAATTGCACACAACGTCATCTTAATGAGGGGACTGTGTGGCTCCTCGAGACTTGAGTCTGGAAATATTTTCCCACACCGGCTCCAGAGTCAACCATACTGAACAAATCAGATTAGTGAGCTTCTACTAGTCATCTGCATACCTCATTTCCTCCATCTTCATTCATTTCAATATCTGACCTGAAAGTCAGTCGTACCAAAAAAAATGCCTAGTTCTAATTTAAAGCTGCAATACATCGCATGAAACATTGTGCACACAACAGCACTACATTTGTCAGTTGTTTTAATTTAATGTCATACGATCTGTAATGCCATAACAAAGCAGTTCCACTCACCTATCTCCTTCTGTGTCCACTAGGTAATATCAACATGGTCTGATGTAACAGTAAATTAAAGCAAAAGCAACACAGTCAAAAAGGAGCAAAGTTTCGTTTTCCTGACAGCATCAGTGGCTGTGATGACTCATATAGCTTAAGTCTTCTGTAGGAGAGGAAAGTGAAAGTGGAAGAAATAAATTAAGTTATTTAGGACATATAAGATTATTGAACTGAAAGACCTGTCAAAAACCAGAAAGAGCATGAGGTGTCTGCATTTCCAGTGATCTGCTGACTTATGCCACAGCCTGGTTTAAACTGCAACAGTTGCTGATTCAGCAGAAAGTGGGAATCATTCACCTGATCAGCAGGTGAGACTAAGTCACAGTAGCTGCCAAACTGCCGAGCAGTAAAGGAAAGGTGTGTAGCTGAGTGTGATGCTGTCATTGGGCGAGAGGCAGGTTTTATCTCACCCTTTGTCATTATATGGGAAACAAACTGAGGTCACCGAACTAATGAGGCTTCTGGAGAGAAATCATCCATGTTAATGAATAATGTGCATAAAGCTGCTGCTCTCACAACGCACTGAGAAATCAGACAGATCTGTCAGTTCACAGTCTGATGACTGCAGGTGTAGGGAAAAAAGTGTGTGTGTGTGTGTGTGTGTTTGTGTGTGTGTGTGTGTGTTTGTGTGTAAACACCATGATGACAAAGGAAATATTTATTTTTATATAAATCAACTCCATTTTCATTTTGGCATATCTGCAGCTGTACCACACACACACACACACACACACACACACACACACACTTTGTCACCTCTTGAGATTATTTTTCAATAATAGCAAGTTATGAATGCTGTAATGAAAACTGAGCTGACTTTACGTTTCATTTTCTCAACACTTGACATCCAGACAGTGAAGGTCATCGTGAACAAGAGTGAGGTGAAAATTTGTCTGGAATAATATTCAGAGCAAGTAATGAAAGTAAATTGAGTTGACTTTCCCTTTAATTGTATATATATATATATATATATATATACATAATATATAATATTACACTTTATTTGATTTGTCGGTGTTTATCTGCTCCCAGCACCTTGTACCGTAACGACGCGAATAGACGCGCATTTATTTTTCAAGCTGCGGTTTTTCACAAAACACTCGGGCCACGTGAGCGCGCTGTGCCGACGCTCGAAGTTACGTCACGACACCGGAAGTAAACAAAGCGGACCGCAGCGGAAGCGGGAGCTGCGTCCTGCGACAGCTGCTGCAGGTGATACACAGCTCGGTTGTCTCTTGTCTTCTTGTTGACATGTGTGTGTCTGTGTGTGTCTGTGTGTGTGTGTGTGTGAAGCGTCCTCGCGGTGCAGCCTGTACTGTCACGGTGATGCTAGCTAACGAGTCATATTCCGACGCCACCAGTCCTCGGCCAAAAACTTCACAATTTTGCGGTTGTTATGCGCTTTGGCTGATTATAGCAACACACAGGACGTGATCACGGACTTCTGACAAGTCCACGGCGTCTTGTCTTCACTTCGCCACATACTGGACAGTGATAGAAACAAATTACTAATATTTCGACTGAGCCTTTTGCATCTAGTCCCTTCACACGTCTAATAAACCTCATGGAAGGGAGTAAGTCGTACACAGTCAACATCACAGTGAAGTGGACATCGTGTTGTTCTGGGGGATTAACCTGTTTGCCAAATGTCCAGAGAGTTTTTTGTAACGAGGTGAGGAAACTACGAGAGGATTAACGGGTCGTAGAAGCGGATGTTTGTCATGTAAACAACTCAACAGTAAATGGTCACATTTATCGGCGGGGTTTGGTGCAGAGCAAACAAGCTTGTGTGGAGCTAACGTTTGCTAAACACCTCCCCGAGCTGTTTGAGAAAGTTAGGTTGATGGAAGTGAACACTGGCCGAGGAGGATGAAACACCAGTAAACACTAGTCAGACATCGTGATAGCGACGTTAGCTGCTAGCATAAACATCTGGTTGACTTCAAAACCGAATGTACCACAGGGTCCAAAGGAAGTTTAAAGTGAAAGACAGCATGAACAGTAAGTGAGAACCAAAACAAAATATCACAGAATCACAGCGAAGGGAGTTAATTTATGGAATAACAACACAAAAGAACTGAGAAGACGTTAAAGGAAATGTTTGACAATAACATTCTGAATGCATATATATGAAGGAACAGGATCTACTGAGCGAACTCCCTGAGACAAAAAGAAAGAAACAACCTCATGCACAACGTTTATACATTTTCTCTTTACTCAACACACATCATCATAAACACAAACATCTGCTGCTAAAAGAGAACACACAGTTGCGGCACACACACTCACACAAACAGTCCATTAAAGGTGGTCCAGAAAGTGAGGACTGTCCAAAATGTCCTCACTCTGTAGGTTGTAGGCTCAAACTGGTCCTCACAAAGACAGCTGTGCAAGAGGACACACAAAGCAGAATATTGTTTACACGTATTTTAATGCCTGATTTTTTTTTTTCAAGGTGTGATGTGGCTCTGACATGTTCCATCTCCATGTCCCTTCCTGACGTCGACAAGCCAGAAGACGGTAACAGCGTGGAGGGTGCCATGGCTGAGGTGTTGGGACAGAGGAGCTTGCTGGGCTTTGGTGTGGTGTTGGCATGGCTGGTTCTGTTCCACCTGCTGGTCAACATCTGGCTGCTTTGTTTGTTCACCAGCCTGCTGGTGGTGCTCGGTGGCTGGCTTGGCTCGCAGGCACTCCTGGATTCCAACAGTGTGGTTCATCTGGAGAGGTTTATCACACTGGAGCAGGTACTTTTCTGGTATTTTGCTTTGTAACCATTTAATTGGTTTTTACATGGTTGAAATACATTTAACCGTCATACTCTTTTGGGAAATAAACTTCCTATAGTTCCTGTATCACGTCATTCTCATTTTGTCCTTGCCAAATGTCAGGTTCCACCGTCTGTGGAGGCTGATCAACACTTGGACCAGGAGATCCACAACACAGTGAGGAAAATCATCAGGGACTTTGTCACCTCCTGGTACTCCACGGTGTCCTCTGAGAGTGGTTTTGAGACAGAGGTCAACGAGGCCATGATCTCTATGGCGATGGAACTGAAAACTCGTGCAAGACATGTCGACAGAAAGGTACTATAATGTAAATTCCTCCGTGTTGTGTAAATATATGTGTGTGTGCAGGTGGATCCATATTATTGATAAAACAATAAGTTTACATTTACAGTTGCCTCAGACTCCTTCACTTTTTAAACACATTCTGTCGTAGATTAAACCAAATTGCCATCAAAGAAGTAGAGAGGCATTTTGAAAATTGTACATTTACACTCGTAATGATAGAAACAGAATGAATAGAAACCAACATTTACTCATGGAAGACTTTCATTATAATTTCTAAACAACTTTTCAAATCATTGTAGGAGCTGACCCAGAGGATCCTCGATCTGTTTGGCTGCCACCTGCAGGACTACATCAGAGCTAAGGAGCTGGTGACCGAGCAGCAGATGGCCGTGAATCGTGAGAGCGAGCTGTTGTGGAAAGCTTATTCCGGTCTTACCACACCTCATCTTGCCATGACCAGTGACAGAGTGGAGCTCAACTACACCAGAGCATTTGTAGATTTGTTATTGCATGTTTTGGTGCCATCGCCGCACTTGGAGTCCCAAACTGGACGGTTTGTTGTTGGAGAGCTAATCACCTGCAATGTTCTTCTCCCTCTTATTGAAAAACTGTCTGACCCTGACTGGTTAAACTTCCTCATAATTGAAATATTTGGGAGATCCAGCAAACCCCAGGAACGCATTGCAGCAGAGCCACTGACTCCGTCCCCACCACTACCGTCACCACCAGCAGATGAATCTGATCTCCCTGCTCTACAGGAAACAGCACAGGCTCCTCAAAGGAATACGGAAATTCCTCCAGCAGGAGCACAGACGGAAATTGTCCCCGAGGCAGAGGTGGCTGAGCTGGCTGCCTTTGACGTCTTTGACTCAGACGAGGTGGACTGTCCACAGAATAACACAGAAGAAGAAGAAACTACTCGACCCTTTCTAGAGATTTACATGAGAGGGAGCAAGTCAAACCCATTTTACCAGGAAACTGATTCAGACCTGGATTCTCCTTCGGCTGAATATAAACAGAGTTCCACTGATTCACTGGTCATGATCGGCCAAGAGGAGAGTCTGGATGACAGAAGCAAAGAAAATACCACGTCTGCTGAAAACAACATTGGTGTGGACTTGGAGGACATTTGTCCCTGTCCATTAGACGGCTCCTGCCCAAGTGTGCTGGTGAATTCAGAAAATCCTAATGGTTATGGCCCCTCATCACTTAGGGCATCAGAGGGGACTCCTAGTGTCAACAGCCCCCAGGGCATGGCCAGCTCCCCTCCAGTAAACCCAACCAGAGAGCTTCTCCTGGCCGTAGAACAGACTGGGATGGGTAACTCTAATGAACTGACTGCAGTCAGTCCATTGCAGGTCACTTCCCCCATGGCATCGTTCAGTTTCGAGCCCCTCAGCAGCCCAGATGGACCAGTCATCATTCAGAACCTCCGCATCACTGGTACCATCACAGCTAAGGAGCACAGAGGCACTGGCTCACACCCCTACACATTATACACTATCAAAGTAAGAGGTGTCCACTTCCTCTCTTCACTAATCAGAAAAGGATAATTCTCCAATTAATGCTTTATGCTGATTTTTAATATAACAATTTGTATCAGAATTTATTTCTAATGTTGGTATTTTGGACACAAACTGTTAACTGCATTTGTTTTACATGAATATAATATAACTTAATTTTACAAACTGTGTCACAAACTCCAATATGTTGCGAACAATATACATTTTGACTGGAATCAACAGAAAATGTTAAGCTTAACAATTGGTCGTGTTGGTTTTCAGTATGAGACAGCCATGGGTTTTGAGAACTCAGGAAGCATCCTGTCCGGCTCCGAGGATGCCGAAGTCTTTCAGACAACTTGTGAGAATCCCTCTCGCATTCAGCCGGTAGCCTATCACATGGTCAACAGACGATACAGCGAGTTTCTCAACCTGCAAACACGACTGGAGGAGAAAACAGACCTAAGGAAACTCATCAAAGGTAGGAGGAGTGAAGTCTGTCCTTTTTTTCTATTTTATGTATCTTTGTCTGGTCTGGAGAAATCCATGCACCTGCCATTTAATCACCGGACGTTGTTTAGATAATTGATTTGTGTTTGTTTCTTGAACCAACAACCTTAATCTTATTGTTTTCTTACTGTGCTTTAGGTGTGAAAGGTCCAAAGAAAATATTCCCAGACATGCCGTTTGGGAACATGGACAGTGACAAGATTGAGGCCCGGAAAGGACTGCTCGAAACCTTTCTGAAGGTTGGTGGGCTGATATTTTATTACTTTATATGAATTCAGGATTTGTATATGTATGCACAAACATTTCTACATACCTTTATTCTGTTCTCTGTTTCAGCAACTCTGTGCCATCCCTGAAATAGCCAACAGTGAGGAGATGCAGGAGTTTCTGGCTCTCAATACAGATGCCAGGATCGCCTTTGTGAAGAAACCTTTCATTGTGTCACGCATAGACAAGGTTTGATCCTGAATATTCCACCGTGGTAAAATTGTAGTTGACTTCCCAATAAGAACATTGTTTATTCTTAGTCATTACTATAATCAGAACATTGAGGCAATGATGTAAAGACACGATAACAACATGTTTGCTGGTCTAACCCTCTGCTGGGGTCATAGTGGATTTGTTGAAGTGTGTGTTTTCTGTGTGTAGATTGTGGTGAATGCCATTGTGGACACCCTGAAGACAGCCTTTCCTCGTTCAGAACCTCAAAGCCCCACAGACGACAACGAAGGAGAGGTGGATGGTTGGAAAATAAGTTTGGACAAGAAGAGCAAGTAATAATAATAATAATAAATTATAACAAACCTTTTTTTATAAAGCACCTTTCAAAACACAAAACTACAAGGGGCTTTTCAATTTAAAAATATAAAATGGAATGCAAACAATAGGAAACACCCACACCAACCTCCTGTCCACACGTGCTAGAAACTCAAACACACTCAGTATGTTTCCCTGGTCGGGTCAGGTTGAGACGGGAGTTGCAGAAATTGCCAGCATTGTCACGCCTCCGTGCCGGAAACAGGAAAAGGTGAACTTATTAGAATTTAGTTGTCAAAGGTCACTGTCCCCAAATAAACATTATTCAGCTCGATGACTGAAGAGGAGATTGTGAACGTCAGTTTCACCTTTATTATTAATGAAGAAGTATTAATAGTGACTCTGAGGGGGAAGCCTGTGAGGAATCACGTCTTGAACCCCTTGCTCTTTGTTCAACGTAAAAAAAAGAGAACAACAGAAATGTTGATTTTCCAATATTGATTTTATCTTTCCTGGTGAAACCTTTTTTTTTTTTTCACTCTCAGGTCTCGTCTGAAGTTCAGTAGTAAAAACAGTCCCTCTGTGAACGGCTCTGACATCAGACCACCAGTTTTGTTCAGTTGGGAGCAAACTAGCACAGTAAGTATCTGACATTCGCATCACTGATATTTCATCATTAGTTCAAATCTACAGGAACTACATTTTACACAATCACACGCTCAGTTCTGTTGCATTTTGTTTGCTGGTTGACTTGATGTTTTTCTGTTCTGTCGAAGGTTTTCAACAGGATGTCCTTGGAAGATTTGCAAGCCTTTATCACTGAACAAGAAAAACTGTCCATCAGAGTTGAGTCGGAGACCAAGGGGAGTCCAGTGGTCAGAGAATTCAGAGGCTATCTGGATGACAGCTTGAGAGGAAGGCAGAGTCAGGAGCGTGGTAAGAGCACACAGTCTAGATCATTGGGATGGGAACCTTATCATCACAGATCATGACAACTGCCAACACAACACCACATGTAGCCGAGTTACTGCTTATACTCTGCTGCGTCCACTGACTGATCAAATATTTTAATTAAGCTGAAATCCCAAATTTTTCTTGAGCCTTAAAGGAGAAGGGCAGCAATTTTCTGTATTTTTCATTTCGCCATCAAATATTTAAAACACTCAGTCTTATCCACTGACCTCCCGGCCCCTCCTCATTATCTGTGCAATCATCGTGTCTGCTCATCTGAGTCACTCTGGCTTGTCTGCTTTCGTTTTTCCTTCGTGTCGGACCAGCACACTGACTCACTATCTGTTGTGTCTTCCTTCTTTCCTGTCTGCTACATTCACCAGTTTCCATCCACCATCTGATCACAATTACAGCAGCCCCCCTTCTGATCGAAACCAGCTTGTGTTTCGCAGTCACTCATCAGACTCACCAGACCAGGTTTATATCTGGCAACCTTTGGCATGCTGCTGTAGCTGCACAGACAAAAGCAAAGGAATTGACTTGTTGCGATAGACCTGGTTCCAAGTTTCCACTAACAGCCGCTACAGTGACATGAGTCAGAGTGCATTTGAACCCAGTTTGGACTCTGCACGACTCTGGAGAACACCCATCTTTGTTGATGGAAACTATATGTGTGGAATTATGTTTTACATTTAAGCATTATATAACTTGACTCATTGGAGGGGACGACAGCCGCACCATATGAAAGTGTGACTAAGTAGAACATTTGTTTGTAATACTCAAGGTTTATGCTTAAATCATTTAAATAATTTTTGTCCAGTTGAATTTACTCAACATCCCATTATGACAACAGGATGTTTTAAAAAGTAAAAAAAGTTTATCACTTTGATGTATGCATCTATTTGGGGATTTTCTTCCATTTTTTTCTGCAGATCCTCTCAAACTCCGTCAGGTTGAATGGGGTCAAGTCCGAGCTAAGCCACTGCTGCTAACATACTAGAAAACAGACTGAGAGAAATTAGCAGTGGGAGCAAAACTTCCCCTGAATTGATTGAACAGCAACAATCACCTACCATCAGTATCAGTCATTTCTCCCTCGCTGCCACAGGAGGGCAGTATTGATAAATACATGTAGTAGCCGAGTGACAGCTGAACCAGACTGTTGATCAGATGCACACTGAACAAATGACATCTTGATATTATAATCTGTCTAACACAGTAATTAATGTATTAGTTTGCGGAGTGACACAGAACATTGTGTTTTTTGTGTCTCGTCTCATGTCGTGGGCACAGCCTCTGAGACGGCGCTGGCCGAGGTGGCTCTGAACATCCTGTGTCTGCTGATGAAGGAGCAGTGGAGCTGGCTGTGCACTGAGAACATTCAGAGGACCATCCGGATGCTGTTTGGGACCTTTATTAACAGGTGACGTGCCACATGTATTTGAAAAACATGAGTTCACTGACTAATGTCTAATAACTGACTTTATGAAGAATTTCAGAAGACAAAAAATGTTTTTAATTAGAACTAAGCTAGTTCTCATCAGTAACTTAGCTAGCATGCAGCACTTGCATGTGGTCCTCTGAATTAGAATCCATACTGCTTGTGTGGTGTCACCCAAGTGTCCGCAAGCCCCGAAATTCATATTCGACTCGAAACCAGTTCAAACTTCTGAGACTCCAGAAGTGTTTTGTGGACTCAAACACTTCACCCACCCCTCCACTGGCATAGTGGAAGGTAGATGGTGAGTGCATTTTCACTTTTCAGTGAATTATACCTTTAAGACGAGACCGTTTTCTCTATGAAGCAAAAAAACCTGTACTTCTTCAGTGCTGCGCTCAGCTGTAAAGTATGTCTGGTCAGTATTCGGTTGAAGAACACATGGTACATGGCCTGTCAATAGACTGTGAAGGAGAGCCTGATTTTTTTTTGGCAGTTTTTCAACATTGCACACTCACAGGAGTAGTCTATGTCTGGGATTTTGAAATGTATGTATATTTTTCCCAATGCGTGCGTTCGCAAACCTTTGCTGCATGTCCTCCCTCCTCACTCCCCCACTGACCTGCGCTCACTTGACACGTCAACAATTAACAGCAAACCTAATCAGAAGGATCTGAACAGTCATGAAATTTACTTTGTGTTTGAGAGACGTATTTAAACACTGTGAAAAATAACGTAAATAAATGCGGCTGTCGTTTTTTTCTGAAGAAATAGTGAGACGAGGGGTGCTAGCTCATATTATGACGTAATGCAGTGTTTTAACGTCATTGTTGCAGAAGCAGCGACTCTCTGTTTATCCAGGAACATGAATATGAATTCAGCAGGTTTTTATAAAGATTTATTCTTCACGTGAGTGATTAGGAAAGAGCAGAGGAGCATAAAATAATTGTCAAGTAATTGAATCCATCTGTACCAATATCCTTTGGCTTGGCTGTGTAGGGCAAAAATGATATATAGTACTGTGAGTTATTATTGTTAAATCCATCCTGCCATTTTCTGCTGTGTGTCTTTGTCTGGGTGCAATGACAGCGTTCTTAATAGAGTAGCTCAGATGTTTCTTTTACCAGCCATGTATTGCAGAGTCGTTCCCAGGGTGTGTGATCAGTCATGTTTTAAGAGAGACGAACCAGATAAAGATTCCTGGGAAGAAAAGTCCATAAGACCAAAGATGGTGGTTGTATACTCCTCCTCATCTGCTCAATATCAGTCGAATGGGAAACATATCAAACTAATGGTGTTCTTGGACTGATGCAAGCGAAACCTTGCACATTTGTTGTAGCAGTATTATCTTTGGTGAAAAATGGATGTGATCAAGTTTTTTCTTATATTCAGAACACATTATAATTTCTGGTGATAGTTGAAAGTGCAGTTGTGACTCTCTCCCCATTGATTTTGGAGCTTGACATTGTTGGCCTGAAATAACGGCTCCGGGGAGGGCCGCCAAGTGGCGACACTTACCAACTTTATTGGAAAAGAATTTAAAACCCTGCTTACTCTCTCATCTTTTGACGCCTCATGAAGTGAGTATGGTTGTGGGATTCTCTGTTTCAGGAAGCTACAGAAATCATCTCAAAAAGTTACCTTAGCTCCAACGTGGTTCTATCTGGTCAAGCATGATCTCTTTCTTTTGGCTACTATCTAAAGCAGCTTTTATTTATAGTCCGCCTGGAGACAACCTCTCTACAACAGCCCAGTGCTATGCCTGTATTAGGCGGCGATAAGGCCAATAAATAAATCAAAAATTCAAATCATTTGATTATTATCACATTAAACATTTAAGTTTCTAAGCTAATTTTGGTTCCCAAGTGAAAGTTGTGCTCCTTCAAGAGCAGAACATCAATTATGTGTTACTGTACCTCTTCGTTATGTTTACACAATGCATGAGTATTACATTGATAGATATTGTACTTCATTTATATTACTGTTGATGAAAAATATACTGCGATAATTATTGATGTTGTGTTATTTAGTATCACAGATGATGTTGCACCAATTCATCTGTCTCCCTCTTGTGGCCAAGGCTGCAGGCTAATCAGTTGCTGAAAATCCAAAGTCACTTCAATCCACCATTTTTAAACAACCGTAACTGCCAAACTTAATAGAAATGATGATTAAAATCTGATATTTGAATATTACAGAGAGAAAACCTCACTGAGATTCTACACATACGTTCACTTTTCCTATTCTTGGTTATGAGCAGATGTCAGCTGCATTTGCACAACCACCTGACTGATGCTGCCATAACAGTGCATTTGTTATCTCCCCCCTCACGTCCATTGCCTCTGATTGACTCTGTCTTCTCAAAGAGCTTTTACAGGCTTGTTCTCATGCAACAAAACATGCAATGGAAACTTCTGCATAGGAGGAATTTGTATCCTCAGCCAGGTCAGGACATGAAGACATGTGTTTCTCAGCGGAGATTCCACAGAGAGAGAGAGAGAGAGCTGTTTATAAGCCACGGGGACTTATATATATATATATATATTTAGAGGCTTATATACAATTCATATTGTCAAAAGAGTTGATATATTAAAGCCACCATGATTCCTTACAGAGGTGTATGTCTTGAAAAATCAATGGCATCTCTTGCCATGCTGTTGTTAATCGCTTAACAGAAACATAATCTGATTAAGCAAGCTTGCTCTCGCTTTTTGAATATGAGTATGAGTCCATGTGCATACATGCATGCCTGCACTATTTGGCCCTTAAGAGAATGCCTGACATAAACTCTGCAAACATTTGTCACAGTAAGGTATAGCTCCTGCTGCCAGTAAACTGAACATGTAGACAATGTTCTCAGGTTCTACTGTTCGTGCTGTGACCTCACGTTCCCTGGGGTGTCGGTATCAGAATATAATTGCTTAACATTGATGCCAGGCCCCTCTATTTTAAGAAGTTCCACCGGCCAAGCATGAACGACCTTGTACTTTTGTTTAGCCTCATCTATATTAGGCAGCAGTCTGTCAACGTTGCAGTGACAGCTCTCAGTGTGGCAGGTATCTGCTCTCATCAACTGGTTTCTCTGTGCAGAGGAGACAAGATGCCATGAATTGCTGGTAATAGAAACACCACATGACCAAAATAGTTCTTTTCATTTATAGTTTTTTTCAAATGCAAAGTGATATATAGACCACTGTGGTGGAGTGGGTAATCCTTTTAACCTGAAGGTTCGATCCCAGCCTATGGGAAGTGTCCTTGGGCAAGATCCCAAATTGCCCCTGACATTCTCTTTGAAAGAGAGCTGCCAATATATACGAATAAGAATAAGAAGAATGTGCACCGTATAAATAGGGCTGAATGGCAGAAAACTGTACTGTAAAGTGCTTTGAGTGTTCATCAAGACTACAAACGTGTATAAATACAGACCATTTACCATCTACAACAAAACCATCAATAAATAAAAACAAAACAAATGAACAATAAAACTGTCCAGGCATGGAGTAAATGGTTACGTAAAAGAGAAATGCAACAAAAAACAGAAAAATGCCGCACATAAAAATTATAATTACACAAAAGCCCAATTTAAAAACACTCTCTTGTAAATGGACAAAGGGAGTAAAAAGAATGATGTGTTTAAAATGTTAGCATATGTCAGTGTTTAATGATGTTTACCAGAACAATGCTTGGGAATATTCGACCGCACGCTATCTAATTGAGAAACACAAAGGACAAGATGTAGCTATTATAGTATATTTGTCCATTCGAAGCTGAGCCTAACAACAGTTTAGCTGCAGGGGCAGCAGTGATGGTGGGTCCAGCTTCAGGGTGCAGAATGAAACGTGGATGAATTGAACTGTCTTTGGAGGTTCCTTGTCGTTTCATCCAGAGCCACCATCAGGTCTAATATTTAACACTTCATTCTAATGACTGATCCCATCACTGTCTGTGAAGATTATCAGTCGTCAGGGTCACTGCATCTTCAGAGGCTGTATGAGTGTAAGTCAGCAACTGGACTCGTGTTTGTTAAAGACGTTTCACCTCCGATCCAAGAGGGTTCTTCAGCTGAACTTCAGGGATGATAAGACACTTTGAAGAAACTAGACTCTGTAGAGTATCTTCATTCACCTACTTCCCGGTTGCTGATCTCAGTGGAGGAAGTGGTTTTGCTTCCTCTTTGTGCTTTATGTTATAAAAGGCACTTCATTGTGCATTTCTGCTCACAACTGGTTTTTGAAATGAATTTGTTTTCTGTTTGGGTCCATTTTTCTCATCAATAAATTGATCCAGATTCTTTTGTAGTGGGACTGAAAAGATATGTCAAATATTGTGACAGTTGTTAGTTGGAGGGAAATGGAAGCTTTACCATGCCAGTCCACAGCTGTACTGAATGCAACTGTCCCAGAATCTAATTTAGAACAAAGAAGGAGTGTGCTTCTGTCCGAGAGACGAAACCAGGACCCGATGTTCGGTGGCCAAATCTTGTGTGTGCTTGGGACAGATCTGGCTGGAAATGCCGGCTCTCTGCTCCTATAAACGGGGTCCAAGGTGAAGCTCTCGCTTGGGAGATGTCTGATTTTTATGGACTGGAAAGTGGGACAAGATCAGTATAGTCTTTTTCCCTTAGACGGCAGTCTGGATGGAAAATCCAGCTGGAGCCAGATTGTTGTCAGTGTCTAGATGAACTGTGTCTAGATGAAGCAGAGAACAGCCACTTTGTGACAACATCACAAACATGTCTAAGGATACTCAACGTTCTTTTTTCCCCAAAACGTGTTGGTAAACGTAAGGCGTCCTTCCTTTCAGTCGGTGATCATCTCGAGGCAAAGATTAGTCGGTATAATTACTCAATTTCACATCACAGACAGTGTGAGAGTTGTGTCAGTGACGATACAGTATAATGGTCCTGTCCTGTGTGGTCATCATATCTGCTGACGGGCTGAGATTTGTAGAACTCCACCTACCTGGTTAATGCACAGGTGCTAATG